AATTTCCACTGTCAGACAAATTGCCTGTGGAGGTTTGAGTTGTGACAAAAACTGACCTTCACGCATTGGCTCAGTGTGGTGAATGCGATCACATTGTGCTGGTATTTGTCAATGAGAGCAGCTCTGTACCAAAGTCATACAAGCACCCTGTCTGGATACAACGGCAATGCTCAAAACTTCAGTGTAAATTGTTCAGGTAACGTAAAACACTGGTCACTGGTTAGTGTCACTTTTCAATTGGAGAAAGAAAGGGTTTGATAATTGCTATAGATGTGAGCCAAGTCCATTCTGTGCCAAAGAAGCCTTATCTCACCCAGGGCTTTAGGGGAGACTTGAACATTGTTTTAAGAATTCTGGACTAAACAGGGAAAACTCATCACCTGGGGTTGGAATGCTGCCAAATGACACCTAAACCTAAGTGTGACTGAGACCCCAGCGTGAGATGAGAGGAGGGCATTCAGAAGAGGGCTTGAAAACTGTAGGGAGGGGTGTGAAATTGTATTTAGAGGTAGTCAGAGCAGACGAGCATTGCTAACTTAATGGGCTGAACAGCCTTCTTCTGAGCAGAAAACGTATACAAATCTAAACACAACACAGACCGGCAGGACCCACCCTGCCACACCCTTCCTCTCTGACACAAACAGAGACGAAGACCACAACACTTTTTCACGATGCACCTTCCCCACTCAAAGGACAAATTGTACCTTAATTATGCTGTAAACGGAATGCAGGGAATGCACATATGCAAGAAAAGTGCAAGGATTATAAAAATGTTGAGACGGGATCTTGTTTCCACGTATATTTTGCCAACCTTCTCCTGTGAAAACTGAACTTTATGTTCTTAATGTTTAACGTTCAGAGTTGTTGTGAACAATTTTGGAAGAGAAGGCGGAGGAGGCCATTTGGCCCATTAAGTCAAGTCTACTGAAGGGTCACGCCGTAGGTGCTGAAAATACTGAGAGACATGACTGATTGGTCTGTCTCGTGCATTCTTCCTCCTGTGAAGAACTATTCAGTTCCAGGCATATCAGAAGGAATGTCAGTAAGAGTGCCAGTAACACAGTTCATCCCCACTCACCCATCTTATTACTATTCAGCTGATGGATACCTCAGGATGGATAGGCCATGTATTCTTGAGTGATCTCTTCCACAACATCAAAACTGTTGTGATTCGCAGAGAAACTGAGAGATGCTCAGGCTGATGAAACCTGAATGCATGGATGCAAAGTTATTGAGTAATGACCTTAACAATACATTCATGTCCATTCTGTTGTGACAGAACGCTGACCAGGGAAACGGAAAAAGCCACTGGCATTGTGCTCTACAGAGAGCAGTCAAATCAAGCTTCAGCGCATGTCAGGAAACTTAGCAAAGAATGAACATTGCCTTGAAACTCAGAGCTACACTGAAAGGGAATTTTTATTCCAGCGACAACTATTTACATTTAGAGAGGGTCTTTCATATCAGGAGTTCTCAAAGTGTTTCACAAAACTGACTGGGAGCACGAGCAGGATGGGGAGGGAGTTGAAAGCGAGGGGAAAGAAGGCTGAAAGCCTGGTCAAACAGAAAGGACTTAATGTGGATTTGGAAGACACGGAGGGAGGGGCAAGGTGGAGGAGCAGCAGCGGGAAGTCTAAATTACAAGATTTGCAAACGACAAGAACAGCTTGTGCTGGAGGTCTCATGGCAGAGCCTCCACTGCTCCATTCAGACACCAGCATCACATTTAACAGGACTGAGATCGGTGTCCAGGTCAGGCTCCTGAAGGTCAGCTGTGACACATCCGCAATCGACCACCGGCAAATCCTTTGTGGATTTCACAATTGAGACATCACTGTTGTCACTTGAACAAAACTCTTGCTTGATGCATTACTGAGATTCAAAGGCTTTCATTGTCACCCTGGCCCAGTTGGTAGCACTTTGGTTAGAAGGTTATGGGTTCAACCCCCCCCCCTCCCCACTGGAACTTGGAACTCACATAGTCCAAGCTGATAATCCAGTGCATTACTGGGAGAGCACTGCATTGTTGGGTGTGTCAACCTTTGAATGAGATGCTAAACTGAGGTCTCTTATCTCTGTTCAGGTGGACGTCAAAGGGGAATTACTGTGTGGAAATTGGCTGCTGCATTCGCCTAAACAATGCTTTCCCAGCACTGCATTGGATTGCCATCCTGAACTATATAAGTTCAAAGTCGAATGTTGCCACAAAACAGATTAAATAAAACAACAACAAAAATTACTTTGTTGGAGCAGCTCAAAGTCTCAACGTGAAAGTGTTTCACCAGTCACCCTCCTGTGTGTTACAAAGGTGGGTGTGAAATCCTACCTCTGAACGGGAGCCCTTTATTGTAAGAGAGCGAGTCCACAGCTCAGAAAAGTCAGGAGTTTCACAACACTGAATACAAAGAACTGACACTAGCCACAGGCACCCTAATGAGTGCAGCCACAAGGGAGGGTGGAGATCGACAGCATCTGTATTTCTGATTGACATTTCTGAGCCAGCATGATTTTCTTTTAAACCATCACTGGATGCGCTTCACTACCTTCATTTTGCTTGAAAGGCAAGGCTTCATAAGTAAAAGTTGACAACGAAACCTGATGTGAAGGACTTCAGGCAATAAAAGTTTATACTAAAGGTACCTCCCCATGCAGTAACAGAACACCAAGGCTGCTTTCTTCATCCATCACAGATGGGCAAAGCCAGCACAAGATCAAGAACATCAACAGGATTGATGTTCCCATCACTGAGTCGAACATGGGGTAAAAGGGCGGAGCAGAGCGATAGTCAACAAAATAACAGTGTCAACCAAGACTGTGAAGTCAAAAGTTTTGACATGCAGCTGAAACCCACAACCTTCTGGCCTAGAAACGAGTGAGCCAATGAGCCAGGCTACCTCAGGCTCAGTCAGCACCTTGATTGAAAGTAGGTGAGGAAATGGAAGGGGAGGTAAAGGAGCACATCAGGAGCTCCATTTGAATACAGATCTAGAAATGGGAAGCAGTTAAAGGTTCACGAGCAGAAGGTTCGCATAAAATTCGACTCCTCTTTACCTATGATATACATCCTTATTTCCCCAACACATGGTCTCCTCATACACCACAGAACAGACACGATCTGGGCCACATTATCCCCTGCACTTCCTCAACCACTAAGAAACTGTGGGACAAAGTGTCACCTGATCTTTGCCTGTGAGGCTAGTCAATGTGGTGTAGAATTGTCAACATTTCTTCAATTCAGTCTTCATTTGGGAAATGTTTTTTTTCAGTTCTTGATAAGAACAAGCGAGAGCACCCGGGTTTCATTCCTGGGCGGGACAAAATCTTAGGCAAGTTCCCTTACTCCACATGCCTCTGTTTACTCGCAGTAAGTAGGAACCTGGTTGTTAGTCGATTGGCGGCTCGCTTTCCAGGGGTAATAATCTCTCCAAAAATAAATAAACAAACAATAATTTGGTTCCTTAATCCACGACTGTTTGTGGGAGAGCGCTGTGCAAAATTGGCTGCCACGTTTCGTTCACAAAATATTCAGTCAATTCACTTTACAATTCTGACGAAAGGTCATTGACCTGAAACATTAACTCACTTTCCTCTCTCCATAGATGCTGTTTGACCTGCTGAGTGTTCCCAGCAACTTCTGTTTTTATTTCAGATTTCCAGTATTTGCAGTATTTTGCCTTTCGCTTTACAGTATATTCTCTGAATATCGCTTTGAGACGTCTCAACGATGTGATAAGGCGCTATATCAAATGCAGAGATTAATATTATAGAACCCGCTTTCTGATTCAGTCAGCGCATAATAATTTTTCCAGAATTCTGCATCACTTTGAATGCTAAGACAAAAAGATCTGAAGGGCGAAGTCGAGGTGGACTTTCCGACTTCAGATGTGCAGTAAGTGTCATTGGTTGTTGAGGATTGTGTCCTGCAGTGACAATGCGATTTCAGAATAAAGGACAAGGAAAACAGTAACTGGGCTTCAACAAGATGTCACTCACAGCACTTAACTGTGGTTATCTCACTCCACCAGGGCATGGGGGCACAATAATATCAGACCTTCATAGTGCAGCAATGCAAATGAAGTGGACTTGTAAATGAGTAATACTGCTTTTCATACACTGAAACTTTTGCAAGGGTATTTTGTTCAAGGGTGGAAGTACAGAAGAGATTTTTTTGGGGGGAAGAAAGAAAATTAGTTTGCTTGATCAACAGATTGTGCAGCAATTCCTTAATTTTAAAGCTGATTCACTTGTCCACAGACAGCTTTTTTCTCTCTCGACACAACAAGACTCATATTCTGGAAAAAGAACATTCAGACAGGCCTGCAGTGATTGTCTTTTCTTTGGCTTTGAAGCTTAAGTGGGCATTTACACGGAGGCTTTGAAGGCCATTAATTCTGACCGTGGGGAGTAACCTCACACTGGTGAAGGAACAAAACTGTGATACAAGAGGCAATCTTTCCCAGACAAAGCCCTGAGACAAGGGAGGGTGGATCGATGCTTCAATACCTGAACCCAAGCTTCATTACAGCCCTGGCCCCAACCTATTAACTTTACACAGCACTCTGGAAAAAGGCATCTTCTGATCAGCAAACTTAAAATCTCACCTATGGATTCTGGCATCAACTTAAAAATTCTCCAGATTCAAAAGATTTACAAATACATTAAAACATAAAACATTAACGCTCTTCTCTTTGCAACTGCACAAACATTCACACTTGCCCCTTATCTGCCTCTGAACTCATAAAGTTTGGGAACAATTTACAGAGCTAGGAAGAGCATAACAAAACAAGGCTTTGCCTCATGCGCTGCTTAATTAACATTATTATTAGATTAGGTTAATTTTACATTCTGGGGGAAGAACACATGAAAGTGGAATCACAGTTTGAAAGAACATTCAACAAGAATTGTTGTATTACAGAATTCCAATCACTCATTTCCCTCATTGAGAATTCTTGCTGATGTACACGACGTGCAAATGAATGAAGGTCTTGAGAGGTACTTACCAAACCAGACTTGTGATTCGGCTCACAACGAAGTTTGTCCTTGGCGGAATGGATTCATCCAAAATCCTGTAAATAGAAGCAGAATATTTTAAGAGACAGCAAATATAGACTAGTGTTCTTTGATAATACAGCCTGGTGAAAATAGGGTGCTGGAAGACGGCCAGTTTCTGCGTAAAATCCAAGCAAGTGGAAATCACTCCGAGTTCCCAGGAGGAATAGAAATCAAACATACAGCTGTTATCAATCAGGTGATAGATCTGTTTTCTGAATCCCGCATCCCCAAGCTATGAAATGGAAAGCCACATAATGAGCTGTGATCTCTCCACTTCTTCCTGTAGCAATCTCACTGATCTAGGCTGCAGTTTAATGTTTCACACCTTACCCAATTTTCTCATTTAAGCCAGACGCCACAATGATCACATTCAACGTACAGAGCAGAAAAAGGCAGTTCAGACGCATCAGGCAGGCAGACATCTTTTGGAGGGGCCAAGTGATGCATCAAATCACAAACAACAAGACAGATCACACTCAGAATTAAGGGCTTCGGTCTCAGAACAAAAGAAATGAAATGACATGCCGAGAGCCAAAGGAATTCTCTCTCCACTCTTCATGTCCTACCTGAAGGGCTCATTATTATTTTTTAAACAGCGGCAATATGTAGGGCGCCAAGCTAAATATACATACACTTGCACAATGTCCTGGATTTAAATACATTTGTACCGCGAGGATTTAACTACATTTGTGGTCATTTCAATCCACGACTGTTTGTGGGACACTGCTGCGTGCAATTAGCTGCTGCGTTTCGCCCACAAAATATACAGTCAATTCACTTTACAGTATATTCTGTGAAGAGCTTCGAGACATCTCGAAGACGTGAACAAGCGCTATATAAATTGCAAGAGTTATTATTATTATTTACAATCCTGGGAATAATCCTTGCAATTGATGTAGCATCTCAAAGCTAGTCACAGAGTAATTTGACTATGTATTTTGTGGGTGAACACAGCACCCAATATGTGCACAGTAGTCTCACAAACAGTCACGCAGAGCTCTGACTTACTTTGTCAGAGAATCCACTGCAAATTTTGATACCAGTTTGTGAATGTGTTGCTCGCGGAGGAGATTCACAATTGACGACAATGAGCATTGAACTGTAGTCCAATGACAACATTCCTGTCAAAACTGCAGCGGAATCACAGACTTTGTCATTTTTCGTTGTCTGAAATAAAAAGCCTTCGGATGAATAAAAAGTGCTCCCGGACACTGCCCCGTGTGAAGGGCACTATATAAATGCAAGTTGTTGTGTTGGGATAGGTTTAGTTGATAGAAGCAAGAAACTAGTGTGAATTGGAGGCGCCCAATTGAAGCAATAGATATCTACTTCTGCTGCTGGCGTTCTGCTTGGCTGAGCGCAGTGCCATTTACCATGCTAGAGGTGAAGCCACACCACCACTGCTGGGCTGCCCTGAACTTTCTCTGAGATAATAAAAAACAGTGAAGGGAGCATGAGTCTAGTGTACCATTTACTGCTGCTGTACAGTCTAATTTCACATTGGATAACCCCACTTTTCACATTCAAAACCAGCAGCCTTATTATTTAAATAAGCTGAATTACTAAATAAATTAAGATTTTGAATATATTTCCCCAGCACTGCCAAACTGTTCTGGACAACACAGGAGGTGGGGGAAGGAGCCCACAACTTTTCAAAATGAAACTTTTGAATTTTCACTTATTTCAGCTTGTTTGGGCAATTGTTTGCTCTGCTATATACAAGTACACAATGTAGTGAATAACAATTTTTCAAAAATTAATCTCTTAACAAGCATCTCATTCTATTGCCCACAAAATACACACAATAATAGACTTCAAGATGTAATAAGGCACTATATTATACCAGGATTATTATATTATATTATCACAGGACTCTCGTTTATACTGACTTTGGAAATTCCAAACCCTGAAACCTTATAATCAAGAACATGTTAGAAACAGAGAACTGGAGGTTGGCAACTGCACAACCCATTTTTAAAAGAGAGCAAGATAATCCAGGAATCTACTGACCAGCGAAATTAAAGTGAGCAAGGAATTGGAGCCTGTAATTACATTTGGGAGATGATTAGCAGCTTGTCCGATCCCAATTGAAAATTGAGCTCCAAATTCTTAAAGTTTTCAAAATGTAAATGACACAATGACGGCATCAAACGAACATCTTATGGTCAATTCCGCACATACAACAAAGCTTACACTCATCGTTTTTCGAGGTTTATAAATGGGTTTCCTAATGTAAATTTACTCTCGATTTCAAATGAATTGGCCGCTCATCCCCTGTTTGAGGGACAGATTAGCAACTACATTATTTATAATAATTAGGTTTGCTATCGCACGTTTCACATCGGGAGGATGTCTGAAAGCACTTCACAAGATGTACTATAAAGTGTTATGACTGTGTATTTTGTAGGTGAAGATGGCAGTCAATTTGCGCACAGTGTATACCTACCTGTGTGGCAACATCCACTCTTGTTTTGATTATATTTTATAAAACATTTCAAGATTTTTATTTTTGCTTGAAAGGTACCATGTAAATCCAAACTAATGTTACAATCCACCAGCTTCTACGACCAATTTCAATGTTCGTACCTCAGCACACCAAGAGAAAGATTTTCCTCACTTGTGCGTTTCCAGTCATAGATTTTCATGAATGGCCGCTTGATTTAGTTTTAAGCACAAGTATCTGTTAGCACACAACGCATGTTTGAAAGCCCTTCATTGTAACACTGTGTATTCTGTAGACAATGGCCCTTTTAGCTTAACACACTGGATGAAATGTTTCAGTCCAAAGTGGCCTCCACTGAAAGAAAAGCAACTGTGCCAGAAATAAGGGGCAGCTTTCTCCCATCTCTCCCATGCTTTTTAAACATGCCTTCTTTTCCGCTCATCATAATGCACTGGTTTTGCCAAAAACCTCAGACCAATCTCAGAGTTCAGGATTCTTCCCTTTCTGAAGAAATCTTGCTGGTCAACCGCTTGCTATAACTTTATTTTAAAATTTATCCTGGAACATAGTGGTATGGAAATAATCCATGATAAACCATGACAAAGTCCTCAAATATAACAAACACCGCTAATTCCAAAGAATTCTTAACACATCCAACACTGCACTTTGGCATTTAATCCATTCCAGCTACCAAAATATATCACAGACCTTTGATATCTTCTGAAAGAGCTCACAGACCAGCCTTTGGGTTAGACAGGATTGGCATTTCTGCATCATACAACAACTTGAATTTATATAGTGCCTGTCATGCAGGAGAGTACCTCGGATCGCTGAAGTGGCAGATTAAACTAAGGAGGGTGACCAATGACACGGTCGACGAGGAGGGTCTTGAGACGGGTTTGAAGGAGGCAAGGGAGAGCCGAGGCATGGGGACTGCGGGATGGAGTTCCAGAGGATGGGGGCAGATTGGCTGAAAGCCCACCTGCCAATGATGGGGTGGGCGAGGCAGGGTATGTGAAGCAGGCCGGAGCCCGCTGAGCGGAGGGAGCGGGCAGGTTGGGAGGTCGCAGAGGTAGGGGGAAGCAAGGCTGTGGAGGGCTTTGAAAGTGAGGACCAGGATCCTGAACTGTATCCTCTGTGTAATGGAAACCCAGTGGAGTCGCGGAGCCTGGTGCGGGAGAGGACACAGGCTGCAGATTTCTGGATGATCTGCAGCCTATGGAGAGAGGAGTTGGGGAGGCCGACAAGCAGGGAGTTTGCGTAGTCTACCTGAATTTTACGAATATATGTATAAAGATCTTGGCGGCCTGTGGTGTGAGACAGTGGCGGAGCTGAGCGATGTTGCAGAGGTGGGGAAAGGTGGAGCGGGTCATGGCATGGATGTGGTGTATGAAGGATAGTTGAGGGTTCGAACGGGACGCCGAGGTTCCTTATTGGCTCTGCAAGATGTAGAGTGCATCCATGGAGGGAGATACTGTCAGTGCCCGAGGTATGAAGGCGCTAACCGGAGCCAAGCAGGAGGGCCTAAGTCTTGTTAACATTCAATTGCAGGAAGTTAGCTCTCATCCAGTACTTGATGTCCGACAGGCAGTCGATGAGGACAGCAGTGGTCCATGAATCAAGGGTGGAGACAGAGAGGTAGAGTTGGGTGTTATCCGTATACATTTGGTAGTTGACACCATGTCTGCGAATGATGTCACCAAGGGGAAGCATATGGATATTGAAAAGGAGGGCCAAGGACAGAGCCCTGAGGGACGCCACATGTGACGGTGCAGGGGCTGGAGGAGAAGCCGTTAGTAGCGACAAAGTGGAGTCGGTGGGAGTGGTAGGATACAAACCAGGATTCGGCAGTTCCGCGAAGATTGAGCTGAGAGGAGAGGCGGTGTGGTCGAATAGGAATAGGAGACAGAGAGAGCTCTGGTCGCATATGTTCACAGAAGGGGTAGAAGGAGATGACTACAGTGGGATTTAAACACACATAAAAGAGGGGGTGAGGTGAAGGGATTGCGGCTGGGTGTGCCGAATGTTAGAAGCTTGGTGGCTAAAGACATCATAAGGAAGAGCTGCAAAAACTGAAGCTAGCTTTTGACCGACATTTGTCTGAAACACTAACCAGTGTAAAATACTGTAACCAGCGTGTGAATGACTGTGGAATACAATGGTTGAAAACTATTGAAAGCGTCACCCGTGGTGGACTGGACACACTGATCTGGTTGAGATCGGCTCATTTGTTGCTGGATTGCAGCTGGAGACGACAGTCCTCAAACATACCTCATACCAAAAAAGTCCTCATACCAAACCTCAGCAGCTGTTACAGCACAGGATTTAAATTGCTTGGAGGCAGTAATGAAATACAGCCTTAGAAATGGTTGTCTCTAGTTGTCAATGGTTACTGGAGGCAGCGTTTGTAATTCTGACTAAAAGCCCTGAAATCACTCAACTGTTTGTTAAGGCCAATGTGAGCTCCTCTCCCAACCACCCCTCCGTCCCCCCCCACCCCTTGCTGCTCTCAGACACAACCTCCAATTTTGAAGGCTTCAGCATAAAATTTAATCATTATTAGCATGACTGAATCAGGGCCTAAGCATATTATGCCTTCTTTCAAAGCATCAACTTATTTATTTGTCCCATTTTTTAATTCACAATTTAATTACAGCCTCCTGTTGTTGCAAAGGAACACCGCATTGCAACTTACCTCCACTTTGACTCTCTCAGGACATAGCTCCAGGTAACCTCACTGTATGGTGAGTGGTTGGTGCATGCCAGCATCTTGTCTCATCACACACTAACTCCTGCTAGAAAGCATCTATCTTGACCTGAAGACAAGATTGAGTATGACAATAATATCCTATGATCAATAAATAGTCTGTTGACACTCACGAAGAAGTCTCTTGGGCAAAGAGACAGGCAATCTAGCTAGCGCTCGTCCGAAGGAAGATGGAGCAAAAGTGAAAACAGAGCAAAAACTCCATCCATCAAAAACAACCAGTACAACTACAACAGTAAGCGAATAAAACTATTTCAAGTTTAGAGAAAACATTAGTTGTTGATAAACGCTGTTGACCAAGATTGGAATTTGCACTGTGGCTAGGCACTTGTGTAATATTGTGAGATGAGATGCACCACTTTCTGGCGCCTGTCCAAAAATTGCCCTGTGCAATCCTGAACATGTGCCCAATTATTTTGATGCCTGAGCATATCGCAAAGTTTTGCTTTGGGTTACGTTTCTTAATCCCATTTTGCATCGCTCATGGAATCTCGGGAGACATTTATTCTCAAAAGCGAAGAGGTTCAGCTCATCGTGTCATTCTTCACAACTCATCTTGTAAAAAGCTGACGTCAAAAATGGTCAGTGGAGGAAAGTTTTAACTTTTTAAACTGAATAACTAACCAGTCGACTAAAATGAGGGATAGAGGCCGGAGGGGGTATGGGGATATGGCTGGACAGTGTGTTTTAAAGAACAGCTTGTTTCTGAGACCTGGTGCAGACTCAATGGGCCAAATGGCCTCCTTCTGTGTTGTGCACTTCTATGAAATACAGTGGGTGAGTGATGAGGAACACAATCCAGAATGCTGAAGTGACACATCTCAGGAAGTAACCTTTATAGAAAATGTCAAAGACAAGTCACGATGAGCAGTGAGCAGAGGTGTTGAGACAAGATGATGAAGCACCAATCCCAATTTAGCATGTGACTGCATATTGTTACCAGTTTCCCATTGCATCGAGAATGACACAGGGAGTGCTCTTTTGTTCCCTCCCCACAATTACATCTGCCAACTGAACTTTATTGTCGTCAGCACTGTTGTTTTTGCTTGGGTCGAGTGTTACAAAGACACACAGGCAACGTTTGTGCCAGGACATTAATAATTATTGCCTAACGGGAGCCGTGGCTGGAATTTATACTTGGGTAACCATGCCTCATGCACTGAGTCAGAAAAACGCTGAAGAATCTGCCCACTGTTTATATTAAATATCAAAAGGACACACAGAGGGTCGTCCCACACCCCACCCCCCACCTGTACTGTGGCCGTGGAGAAATTCCACCCACTTCAGTGCAAATGCAGGATTCTAATGTTAAGTGGGGGAAGAAACAAGAGAGTTTGCAAGTATTCTCCATTTGCCAGTCTCGGAGTGACCTATCCACCCACTGTCCAGATCATAGCAAAGTGGGCAAAGTGACAAGGCGAAGTTCATCACGCTTCAAAACTGAAGCACGTTTCTGAACTTCTCTGAATCAGACATTCACAGAGCAAATTAGGGGTAGTTTTAATACATCTCTCCTCTCCCACCCTCACCCACCCCGACACACATGCACGCGCACACACACGGTCGAACCAAATCCATGGAAGTCGTCATGCTGGAAACAAATTAAGGAATGAAAGCATTTACGATGGAAAAAACAGGTCAGTTTTTGAACTGACAAAAATATGCTACAAATCCACTAAAAAACAACTGGGACACAACAGTAGCTGTTAAAAATTGTACCCCAACTTTATGGCATTTTCAAAAATGGAATTGAATTCAACTTATTTCAAATGAGTATTCGTGAGCTTTTCTCCATGGTGGAGCAGGGACTGAGAATTAAAAGGACACGACTCTCTCACACCGCTGGCTGGGAACTCCAGGAATATAAATCTGCAGAGAGTCCCCCAATTAAAGGAGAAATAATCATCTTCGAGAAGTGAAGCTCTGCATACCCGTGCTCATTTACAAACACACAATGACATTAAAACGCATTTTGCATCAGACTCACTCATGCAAGAAACCATTAAAAAATTATGCATGGCTCTTCTCTTTCCCGAAAGAAAGCTTTCCAAACATACGTTTCCCCATGAAGTCATGCCCCTTTAATGGTTCTTTCACAGTCACACTGATAAGTGGGAACTCCGCATCTCTCTCAAGGCTTATAAAATGGTGCAACGCTTAATCATGCAGTAGTGTCAGAGAGAGAGAGAGAGAGAGACACACACATACACACGCACATACATCATGATCTATTTTGCTGTAAATGAAGAAATGCTGTCACCCAGTTAGGTTTGACATGAGAAACAAAGGCTTTGTAATTACCTTTCTGAAGATGCTGCGCTATTAAACAAAGGTGCCGTGTAAACAGGGAACTGAAACAGCACAGACTGGATTCATTCAGCAGAGGCAGTAATGAATGAACACAACAGTGATGAGCCTCTATCTGACCCTCTATCAGTGAGCTGGAGAGCAGCTTGCAGCCAATCGCTGACCTGAACCTCCCATACTACACAGTGAGCAACAAAACATTTCAAAGCAACGTCCTTCCTCAGCTCCCAGAACCGGTGAACAAGTGTGCTGGGGCGAGGGTCACATACAGTTTGAATTCTCTTCTTTTTTCCCTTCATTTTCTTTTCCTCTAAAGCCACCTCTGACTGTCACCACCTGTTCTGTAATGTATCCTGCTGGCGATCTGCTGGAATCGTATAATGGTGTACTGGCATGCCGTGAGTCAGACTTACTCTCATCACTAGAAATAGCCATCTGTTTTCTGTTTCCTATTATAATAACCCAGAGATTCTTTTTTAGCCATCATGTAATGAACACAGTGAGATCTTTCTTTGGTCAGTCGGGTGTCTGATACAGGCGGAAACCCATCACCCTTCTCAGCATGTAATCTAGACACTAAACCGCTCCAGGACGGTATTCTAGGACAGAGTAGTCAAATTGACTGCTCACGGGCTACATCGGCCCGCAAACCATTTCCAACTTCATTGTCTGTCGAGCAAATACAGGTAACAGAAGAGACAAGGAGAAAACAGCAAACCTTAGAATTAGAAACCGAGGATAAGCGATATAAGCAGATGTCAATTTGCTGGCTGCAATTATTCCTTCCAATTGAGTTTTCAGCCATAGCAGGATGGTGAAGGCATTGCTGGTGTTATTGAAAGCAGTGGTTCTTAATCAGCAGTCAATTATGAACCATCTGTAATTCCCTTTCCTAAACGGCCAGATCTTGTTATCTACCTCGGGTTCTTCAGTAGTTGTGCACTTGTACAGGCTAAAAACAGAACTTGGCAACAAATGTCCAAATCTCTCTCAATGTTATCAATCAGCTTCTGAAGCATGGATGGGTTAGAGCAGGTGATCGCAGTTTCATTCCTGATCTGTGGCTGGTTAGCGAGCAGCGTTTGGGGTGCTTCAATTGGCAGCAGCAGCCGCCTTGCATTGGGGAAATCAGACAGGAATCTGGCTCCTGCACAACAGACAGCGACACTTGCCAAAAGTGTCCAGGTGTGGACATAAAGTCAGGATATGAGCATGGTCATCACATGACATTCCTTATCTAACAGTCTGTTTGGCATCATGAAGAATGAGCAACTGGGTGAGAGGCCATAGAACTGCCAGCAACCACTAGCCCAGTACGTTGAATGAAAAGAATGCTTTGCACATTCGGCTATATCCATTTATCTCATGCTTCAAATGTACAAATGTAATTTAGTCATTGCCAAGAGGAGCTGGCTTAATCTCTGCTGGGCAGCACTGGTCGTGACAATAGCAAGCTCGACAAACATTAGCTTTCAGCTAATTCGGTCACTAATTCCTTTCTTTACCAAAGTGCAGAACTTCTTGTTTTGCAGTTAAATCAGTACAAAATGATTAGTCAGTGTCAGTCCACAATATTGATGAGCCCCACTCGATATTACCCCACCTGACTTGAGAGCTACTCTATAAATGTAAATTGCATTGTATTAATAATCAATGCACTTCACAGTGTGGAGATGCAATAGTTCCACAAGACTAAGGTTACGGTAATGTTTTCTTTTGAAAGTACTTTCCCACCCTGGAAGGGATAAATGTTTAAAACAAGGAGCGTCGGATTATTCAGTGCATTCCTGTTATATTATTCGATTTAATTAGCAGCCCAAGATGGATGGTAACTCACAAGTCTTTTTTTGTCTCAAGGATTCAAAGAACTTTATCATTTTTTTTGAAAAAATAAGTCAATTTGCAAAAAATACCAGGTTTCTTCTGGTTTAAAATGAGCGCACTTCATCACAGACGCATTTTTATTGCAGAAACGTAACATTTTTGGAACACTTAACATTGCCAATCCAAAGCTCCACATATGCCAAGTGATCTGTAGACCTGCGATGCTGTGATTATCATACGTTTTTGGAAGGGGGTTGGGATGCTGTGGATGTGCAGATGATCCCTTTTCCTCAGGGATCTTGGTTTGAATGTAGCTCAGACTTATGGAAAGAAAGTCTTTTCAAAGACTGTGGGAGTCCAGTGCAAAAATGAGTTCCAGTGAGTCCGAGCTCTGCGGTAATCCTGTCCACATCACAGGAATGTCACAGAATTTGCAACTAAATTGGCAATCTCGCCCTTTAATATTAGGAGGGATTTTGATAAAGTCGATGCGGAGAAATGATTTCCACTGGTCAGTGAGTGGAGGGTATCAAATTAAGAAAAGTTGCAAGGAGGCGATTAGGAGGATTCCTTTTTGTACAGAATGCTGTTTCAATGTGGAACGCCTGACTGGGTTGGGTGGTCGAGCCGGGACCCATTACTGCAGAAACTAGATAGATTTCTAAAAAGGGGTGTATGGGAAACAGCAACAAGACTGCCATTTCAAAAAGCCAGCACAGACACAACAAGCTGAATGGCCTTCTTCTGTGCTGTACATTTGTAGGGCTCTACGGTTCTATAGATGTCCTCGGATTTGAAAGTGCAAAAAATCCACACTAACGGGCTCATTCCGGACATCATTGCTTGAAATAGAATCACTCTGATGTGCAACGCTGATAACTCGATTTTCATGGACATGCACGAAAATCTTTGTTTATTCCAAAAATAATGGCAATCACCAATTTTAATGATTGTGCAACAAATGCAGTGATACTTCGGATGCACCAAGACGGAAGAACAAGATGGCACAGGTTCAGAAATGTAAAAGGCAATTTTAGGACAGATCACAAGGGAGTTTTTCGTTAAGCAGAGAGTTATCAACAACTGGAACAGGTTGCCAGGAAAGGTGGGAGAGGCCAGGACACTGGACTGATTTAAAGAGCAGCTTGATGGGGGGTGAGGGGGACGGGAAGATGGATATTCCGGAGGACTGAGATTGGATGAGCAGAAGGGCCTTCTTCATCCAAATCAATCTTGTAATCTTGTGGAATGAAGTCATGCTTCACTGTAAAATTTCAGGTTTGTGACGCAAGCATATCTAAGGTGCCCGTTTTGCGGTGCTTTGCTTTGAGAGCATATGGTAATAAAATTAATGTAGATTGTTTACTTATTCAGAGAAATCCAGAAGCATCTTTGATAAACAGATGGGATTAAAGTCGATGGCTTTTTGCCAAAGCAAAAAAAAGACAATTATTTCAAAATGGGAAAAAGCTCACAAATTGCAGTTTCTGTAGCGTGACCGTTCACCAACAGTCCTCGTCTGCTGGTTAAAGTTAGGAATCAGTATTTTAGCAGTGTGAAGTTACTGATGTGCCAACTGCAGCGGGGGTCATTATTGAGAGCTGCCAACAGTGGGATATCGTCATGGATAGCTCTTCGGTACTCCTGATGACAAGATTAAATTCACTTTTTTTTTTCTGTCCCACTTAACAAGTAAACCTAGAACAATAGTTGCTTGTCAGCCAAGCTCAGTGGTAGCACTCTCGCCTCTAGATCAGAAGGTTGTGGGTTCACGCCCCGTGTCGGGACTTGGAATCACATAGTCTAAGATAATAATAATAATCCTTGCATTTGATATAGCGCTTTTCACGTCTTCTCAACATCTCAGTGATTCACAGAATAGACTGTAAAGTGAATTGACTGTATATTTGTGGGCAAAACATGGCAGCCAATTGCGCACAGCAGTGTCCCACAAGCAGTAGTGGATTGAAAATGATGACAGACCAATGCAGTGTTGAAGGAGTGCTCCAGTGCCAGAGATGCAGTCCTTCAATGAGACATTACACACAGGTCTTGTCTGCCTGCTCTGGTGGATGTTAAAGATCCCATGACACGATTCAAAAAGAGAAGGGCATTTCTCCTGGTGTTCTGGCCAACAATCCACCAAATAAAATTGGTCACTCACTCTATGGCTGTTTGTAAGATATTGCTATGCAAAAATTGGCTCCTGAGTTCTGCCCACAAAATATACAGTCAAACTACTTTTTCAGTATATCCTGTGAAGTGCTTTGAGATGTCTCGACAAAGTGATAAGGTGCTATATTTAAGCGCTCTGAGATGCCGTCCAGTGGAGGGCGTTGTATAAATCCAAGTTGTTGTTGTTGTATATCAAATGCATGAATTATTATTAATACTTTAAATTCATCAAGACAGTGAACAATAAGATGTAGGTTTACACTTGTAAAGACAATTTCAGGACAAACACCAGGAAGTTTTTCTTTACACAGAGGATAATTAATGACTGGAACAGGGTACCAAGGAAAGGTGATTGAGGCCATGACACTGGACTCATTTAAAAGCAGTTTGATGCAGTGAAGGAGGAACGGCAAGGTGAGTGTTCTGCAGGGATGGGATCAAATGGACCGAAGGGCCTTCTTTATCCAAACCGATCTTGTGTTTTGCATTGTTAGGATTCACATCACTGAAATTCAGTGCTCTGGCCTGCCACAGTGATCTGATAAGTGAAGACATCACTTATTGCAGCACTGAACCATGCACAAATGGACAGGCTGCAGGGTCAAAACCTTGATCTCAGCCATGGCAGTATTTGGGGCACAGCAAGTGGCCTTAGTGGCCCTGAGTTAGGGAAGGGAAAGTCAAGCAAGATATCTGCTCCTGATTTTAATCCAGGAAGGTACATGTGTGTAGGTTTCAATGGGCCAACTGTATGCCAACATTCACAAGCAAGACTCACACATGCAATGATGGCCCCTTTGCAAAGAATGTACAGCACAGAAACAGGCCACTCAGCCCACCAGTCCATACTGGTGTTTATATTCCACACCAGTCTTCACCCATTCTTTAGTCCTTCCCATATCTTTCTATTACCTTCTCCCTCATTTAAAGATCTAGCTTCCTTTTGAATGTATCTATACTACCTGATTCAACCACTGCTTGTTCCGCAATCTCACTATTCTCTGCATTAAGTAGTTCCTCCTAAATTCTTTCTTAGATCCCTCTAGTCGCTATCTTACACTTATGAGTTACTTTTAGGTGAGTTACTGGAGGTGAGTTACTGAAGGGATCCCAGCCCCCACAGTGCTAGTAGGAAATTAAATAAAAATGAGGAATCGTACATAATAAACTTAGGATAAAAAGACACTAAATATGTCTGAATTTCCTTTGCTGCAGGTTTCACAGCAGCAGAAAAAACAAATAACCGAGTATCAGGATCGATTGACTGTTAATCCACTGTGTGATAAAGCAACAGAGAAAATCGAGTACCTGTTTCCCAACTCGTGTGTTGTGAAGTTTGAGCCAGAGCTGTATGTGATGTCTTCTGTCACTCTGGGTGGGTTATCAATTTAAGATAGTTAGTAAATGAGCAAATTGGCAGGTGAAGAGGAAGATTTTCACATACAGAGCAGTTAGG